ACCTCCTGAGGAGGTTAACGCTCAATCACTGAGCTACACAAGCCAGGCTGACAAATATTTCTTGAATGTCATCTTTGTATAATAAGGGCCTGGGGCTCTCTTTAGAGTCAGTGTGAGACATTGAAAAACTGTCCAGATTCTCCTTTTTTTTTAGTTCTTTTTTTTAAATATATTTTATTGATTTCTTACAGAGAGGAAGGGAGAGAGATAGAGAGCCAGAAACGTCGATGAAAGAGAAACATCGACCACTTGCCTCTTGCACACCCCCTACTGGGGATGTGCCCGCAACCGGAAGGTACATGCCCTTGACCGGAATCGAACCCGGGACCTTTCAGTCCGCAGACTGACGCTCTACTTCTGCCGCTGAGCCAAAACGGTTTCAGCAACTTTGTAAGTCATGTTACTGAAACTGTATCTTTTTTTTTTCCTCCGGAGGATTTCTCTCCCCCCCTCCCCCCCCTCCTTGATATTTAGAGAGAGTAGAAGGAAAGGAGAGAAAGAAAGAAAAACATCAATGGCCGAAACTAGTTTGGCTCAGCAGTAGAGTGTCAGTCTGCGGACTGAAAGGTCCCGGGTTCGATTCCGGTCAAGGGCATGTACATTGGTTGCGGGCACATCCCCGGTAGGGGGTGTGCAGGAGGCAGCTGGTCGATGTGTCTCTCTCATCGATGTTTCTGGCTCTCTATCTCTCTCCCTTCCTCTCTCTAAAAAATCAATAAATTAAAAAAAGAAAGAAAAGAAAAACATCAATGTGAGAGACACATCAATTGGTTGTCTCCTGCATGTGCCCTGACTGGGATCTGGGATCAAACCTGCAACCCAGGTACATGCCATTGACTGGGAATCGAACCCACAACCCTTTGGTGTGTGGGCCAATGATCTACCACTGAGAAACACTGTCCAGGGCTGAAACTGTGCTTATTTTATAAGGGACTCTCCTCTAGCCTGACATTTCCAGCATGCTTCCAAGTGTATAATCATTATTTGACATGTTACCTAGTTGTGCACGAGAACTAATCATACTTCCTAATGGGACAGTGTAGGTTATGGTCCAGCTCTTACCAATAATTGCTCTCATGTGTCCACTCAGGAGCACCACCCTTTCATCCCCTTTCTGCCTTAACACACCAGAGCATATCACAGAGGAATGTCAGCATGGCGGGGCTGCTAAGGGTGAAGGTCTGTCACCTGTCCACCTGGCCTTGCCTCTGGAACCAAGCACCTGCAGAGTGCTCAGCAAACAGGTGCTTCCTGGCTTAGTTTCAGATCAACATGTGCCTAAGTTTCCTGCAGCTGCCTAGTTGACACATGTGCCTGGCCCAAGGGAGCTGGGGAGCATGGAAATGTACCTGCTGGTGATGGTCTCACATAGAAGTATTTATGATGAAATTGCCTGGAGAACAGTTGTCTGTGCTTGAGTCTATGACTTAGAAGACTAAATGGTAGTGATTAACAGCATTTGAGTTCCATATATTATTTTAATGCAGCCTGACTAATCTGACATTAGAAGTTATGTAATCTTTTTTTATTAATAAACTCTTATTGTTCATATTATTACAAAAGTTCCTCATTTTTTCCCCCTCCACCAGGTTCCTACCCCACCCTCTGCCCCTTCCCCACCCCCCATTGTCCTCATCCATAGGTGCACAGTTTATGTTCAGTCTCTTCCCACTCCTGTTATGTAATCTTTAAAAAATATATTTTTTATTGATTTCAGAGAGGAAGGGAGAGAGGAGATAGAAACCTCAATGATGAGAGAGAATCATTGATCAGCTGCCTCTTGCAAACCTCCTACTGGGAATTGAGCCCGCAACCTGGGCATGTGCCCTGACCAGGAATCGAACCGTGATCTCCTGATTCATAGATTGATTGCTTAACCATTGAGCCACACCAGCCAGGCAGAAGTTATATAATCTTTTCCCTTAGTTTCTTCCTTGTAAAACAGAGATGATAAAACCACATTATAAATTATTGTGGGAAATTCATGAGATGGTGTTTTTAAAGTGTTTCATACAGGCTTAGACAAAATAGGGACTTAGTAAATGAAAGCTGCTATTTATTATTAGACACTTTTACCTTTTTGCAGATGGAATTTCTATGTCACGGAGGCCAGCTGGTCAGTATTCTAAGTTGGCTTCTGAAATCAGAGGTCAGGGCAAGGCTTTATGCTGCCAAGCCTCTCTCCTTACTCAATATACTCTCTGACATACAAATCTCATCCTCTATGCAACACCCAAACTTCACAAACCATTTCTTAGTATTTCTTTGGGTTCTGGAATTTGCTAAGCCCATGAATTCCTTTTTTGTTATTGTTGTTGTTGTTGTTAATCCTCACCCAAGGATATTTTTCCATTGACTTTTTTTTTTTTTTTTTTTTTAGAGAGATTGGGTGGGAGGGGGAGAGACAGAGAGGGAAACCTTCATGTGAGAGAGACACATCAATTGGTTGCCTCCTGGCACATGCCAGGGATCAAGCCCGCAATGGAAGTGCGTGCCTTGACTGGAAACAAACCTGGGACTTTTCTGTCCATGGGCTGCCGCTCTGCCCAGTGAGCCAGACTGGCTAGGGCCGTGAATTCCTTTTTAAAACATTAAAGCTGAACAGGTCCTCAGACATCATCTCATCCAAATCACTACTTATTTTACAGACTGCTAAGGATGCTGAGCCCTGAAGAGATGAGCCATGCCTAGTGTCACACGTGTAGTGGGTGACAGAGCTGGAGCCAGAACCAGGTTTCCAGGTGCGGTGCCCTCCTCTCTCTGATACATGTAGCCGTCCCTCCTAGAGTCATGCTCGCAGTGGCTCAAGCTATGCCTTCCCTTGGTCTTAACGTTCCCCAAGCCACTTTGCTCCTTTCTGAGTAGCCAGCTATTTCCTTCCCTTGGTGACAGCCAGCACTTCCAGGTAACTTGACAGGGGCCCAAATATAGCTCTTTATGGGGAGACTGGTGGTGGGTCAGGAGACAAACTGTGGGACACATGCTGATGCCATCGCCCAGGGACCCCAGCACCAATCCCTGGCAGAGTTTTACTCTTAACCTTCCAAACAGCCAAACCCACCCTCATCTTGGGGAACACTGAATTTTAATTATATATTTTTAATTCTTACCTGAGGACATGCTTTTGTTGAGAGAGAAAGAGAGGGAGAGAAATATCAATGTGAGAATCTTGCATTCACCCCCAACAGGGATTGAACCTGCAACCTGGGCATGTGCCCTGACCAGGAACTAAACCTGCAACCTTTTGGCGTTGCCAGAATGCTCAAACCAACGGAGCAACGCTAGCCAGGGCAGAACACTGAATTTTAAAGAGAATTGAGACTAGACTCTTTCCACAGTTTTGCTGTAGTTCTCCTTTTACAGATAAAGAAACTGAGACTCATAGAGGTTAAGGAACAGGCTCAAGTTCATTCAGCTATTAAAGATGATTTCAATTAGGTCTCTGAATTTGGTGAGTGGTTAGGGATATATCTGTAAAATGGGAACTGGAGGACTTATAAAATAGGTTGCACCCTGGCTAATTTGGCTCAGTGGGTAGAGCGTTGGTCCTCAGATTGACAGGTCCCCGGTTCAACTCTGGTCAAGGGCACATACCTTGGTTGCAGGCTTGATCCCCAGCCCTGGTTAGAGCATGCAGAAGGCAATCGATGTGTCTCTCTCACATCTATATTTCTCTCTCTGTCTCTCCCCATCCTTTCTGCTCTCTCTAAAAATCAATGAAAACATGCAGAAACCGGTTTGGCTCAGCGGTAGAGCGTCAGTCTGCGGACTGAAAGGTCCCAGGTTCGATTCCTGTCAAGGGCATGTACATTGGTTTGCGGGCACATCCCCGATAGGGGGTGTGCAAGAGGCAGCTGGTCGATGTTTCTCTCTCATCGACATTTCTAGCTCTCTATCTCTCTCCCATCCTCCTCTCTGTAAAATATCAATAAAATATATTTTTTTAAAAATCAATGAAAACATATCCTCCGGTGAAAATCAACATCAACAACAAAACGTTGCATTGAGGATTAGATGAGCTCATGAAGGTGAAAGTGCCAAGAGAAGAGTAGCTTGAGAAAAGGAACCATCTTATTCATCTCTGCATCCCCAGGGACTGGAACATTGTTGGTAATCGATACACTTTTAAAATACACCTGTGAATGTATAAATTAATAAATGACTGAATGAGAGGTGCCTAGAATGCAAGAGGTTTTCAATAAATGCTTTTTCCCCTCCCTTTCTCTGGAGGGTGACGGCTGTATTTGCCATCTCTGTGCCTGGCACTTGCTAGGCCCTGATGAGTGTATGTAGGTGGGATGAGTGACTCTCAGGAGCACTGAGCCTTCGAGGTAATAGGGAAATGCATGCCTTTTTCAGCTGCAAGCAGCGGCTGGTACTTCGAGCTCCAGGGAATGGCATGCTACCTTAGCCAGGGCTTCCCTTCACTGCAGGGTGAGTGCCACCCACTTTTCATGCTGACCCTAGCATGACCCTAGCACCATAGTTACCCTGAACTCAGTGTCGGGCCCAGCTGCACACACCAGGGGAGGACAGTGGCAAAGCCTTTGAGCAGAGGATGTATTCTGCCCACTCAGATTTAGCTTCATTCCATTCTTCCATCCCACCTCTCTTTATCTTCTTGGGATTTCAAATGTCATTCCCCTGTTTCTCTTTTTTTAATTTAATTTTATTGATTTTCTTACAGAGAGGAAGGGAGAGGCATAGAGAGCTAGAAACATCGATGAGAGAGAAACATCGACCAGCTGCCTCCTGCACACCTCCTACTGGGGATGTGCCCACAACCAAGGTATATGCCCTTGACCAGAATCAAATGTGGGACCTTTCAGTCTGCAGACCGATGCTCTATCCACTGAGCCAAACCGGTTTCGGCAATTCCCGTTTTGCTGCGTGAGTTTTTGAGTGTCCACAAGAGTGCCTGGCACATAGTAGGTGTTCAGTAAACATTGGTGGAATGAGTAAGTGAGTAAGTGAAAACAGGACCAAAGGAAGAGACAGGCTGACTGATGCATGTCTGTTTATTGGCACAGGGTCCTACAGGGCCAAGACCACACCCTCCCCACCCTCTTTTCTGCAAAAATAAACTCTGTCCTTTCCTCTCCCTGTTCTGCTTTCCGGCTTGGTCCGGGAAGACTCAGTCTTCCCCTAAGAGTTGTGCCGCCATACACAGGAATTAGCATCCCCTACACATACACACTCCCACCCTGAGCCCCGGGAACCAGGAGGCAGCAGGGAGCCTGCAGAGGCCCTCAGGCTCCCACTAGGAGCCGAGTCCAGTTGGTCTGTCAGTGAGGGTTGGCAGCAGTGTGGAAGCAGCAGTATGAGGAGCATGAGGTGGAGGGCGGCCCCTGAGGGGGTGCTAAAGGAGCTAAGTCCACTCCCACATGAGCATCGTGTGAGCCTCCAGAAGAAGCGTGGAAGACACACCACCCAGGCCCCGCGTTGTCAGAGTGCAGCAGGCACGGCAGGCCCCATGGCCGTCAAGCGAGTGAGCTCGGGGCTAGAAAAGCCGACTCCCTCCTGGGGGAGCTGGTGCCCCGCACCCCCACCCAGGCCTCCTTCAGGCAAGGTGACATGGAAGGATGTCACGGTGAGTGGTGGGGGCTCTGCTGGAGGCAGGGGCACCCCCAAAGCAGAGGCACAATGTGGTGGTTGAGCAGGGACTGGGACTCGTCACCTGTGGTGTGTGGAGGGGCTAGACCGAGTCTAGCTGGCATTTGCCTTCTCCAAACTCCAGAGCAAACAGCCTTGCCGGGCGAGCTGCGCCAGGCCCTAGCAACAGCTGGCCGTTCCCCCCCAGACCCAGGTCTACCACACTTCACACAGCTGCCCCGGGTTCATGGGGGAGCCGACAGGGCAGCCGAAGTGCCGCAGGAAGTCACGGGAGTTGGAGAGAGTGCCCAGCACACGGAAGCGGGCAGGGCTGTGGGGGTCGGTCACCAGCCCCTCGTGAGAGCTCTCGGGTGTGCGGACCGAGCACCACACCTGCGGGCCAGGACAGACACGGGGACATACGGTGTCTAATGTGGGCAAGGTCACAGACGGGGCTGCAGCCGAGCCATCCAGGGACACAAACCACCACTGCACTGCCCCTCAGCTCAGGAGGCCTCAGGGACACAGGCGGGAGGTGGGGGTGGGTGGTAGTGGAGGGGGTTCAGCCAGCATTAGCTCCAACCCCTGGCTATCCGCTGTAAGGGCGGGGACTGCACCCTCTCCCCCAAATTCCTTGAAGGCCCTTCAAAGCTGTCCTGGAAATGGGGTTGCTGCATCTGAGGGGAAGAAGCCCACCCCCTAGCGGCTGCCTGCTGCAGTGCAAAGTGCCTTGAGGAGACCCTGCCTGAGTCACACTCTGCCGCTTACTTTCTTCCCGGGTAGCCCCTGATGAGCCACTTTGTCCCCGAGCTTAAGTTTCCTCCGCCACTGCCACCTCACAGTTCATGGTGAGGATCAGTGCTGCTGCCCACCTGTCCCCCTCAAGCAGGCCAGCCCTGCCCTTTGAGATCTGCAGATGCCTCCTGAAGGATCCTCTCTCCTCGGGCTTCCTCTCAGGCTTTGGTGCGTCCCAGCCAAGAGGCCTCCCCAGACCACCTTCCACCCCCCAACTTTGGCCCCAATTCCCACATGCCCCAGACTTCCAAAGACACACCCAGGAAGAAATGGGAGAGGGGCAGACCCCAGACCTCCCAGGAGAGCAATACCTGGGCAAATCCCACAAAGAAGAGCTGGTGGTTGGTGAGTCCCACGGCTGGCAGCTGCTTCTCCTCACCATTCCTTCTCAGCCATGCCTTGTAGGCCTGGGGTTGGACACAGGAGCGGTAAGTTCCACCAGGGCCTTCCCATCCCCTCCACCCAGCTCTCTTCCGCCCCAGGGTGGGCCTCAGCCCCTGGAGGGCCGGCCAGGCACTCACATTGTAGGCAGCCTTAAGCCCTCCGTTGTCAGCAATGTTCTCCCCCAGCGTCTGGCGGCCGTTGAGCTTCTCCCCGTTGACGCGGTACTGGCTGTACTGCTCCTCCATGCAGGCCGTGTGGTTCTGGAAGGCTGCCAGTGACTCATTCTGCCACCACGGCCGCAGGTTCCCTTCCTTGTCATACTCACGCCCTGAGGAGAAGGAACCTTTGCACTCCACTGAGACCCGAGCTCAGCCTTTGGGGTCAGGAGCTTCCCTCTGCTCGACCTGCTCCCAACATCTCAAGGTCTTGCAGGAGCCACCGGGAATTCTAGGCCAAAGGGAACAACCCCATGGGCCTCTACCTTGGTCATCAAAGGCATGCGTCAACTCGTGGCCCATCACCACGCCGATGCCACCGAAGTTCAGGGCCCTGGTAGGTGAGGAATGCTGAGTGAAGACACGGTAGGGGGATTTCTGGATCCTACCTCCAGCCCCGCTCCCAGCCCACCCACAGGCCCAGGCCCCAAGCCCCAGCCCCTCCCGCCTCACACACACTTGGGGTGGTTGCGGGCATAGAAGGGGGCCTGCAGGATGCCAGCAGGGAAGACAATTTCATTCTTGGTTGGAAGGTAGTAGGCATTCACTGTCTGGGGGGTCATGCTCCACCTGGGGGAGGGGGAAGGAGAGGGAGAGGCTTAGTCTCCTGACGCCCTCGATGCTCCTCCCAGCCCAGCAGCCTTGACCTACCTGCAGCAAGGACCTTGTGTCTTGGTTTGGACCAGTTTTGCCCATCCCCCCAAGCCCTGGGAACCCCCCCCCCCCCACTTCTCTTGCTGCCCCAACTGCCTACAGCCCTCCGTTCTCACTGTTCCCGGGCGGGAGGCTTTCGGAGCTGGTCAGCCATCACTTTGGCAGTGAAGTTATACAAATTCAGCATGTTCTGGAAGAAGGAATCTTCAGAGACTTCATACTATGGGAATGGTGAGAAGGAGAAAGCAAGCAAGAGAGGTAAAAGTTCCAGCTTAGCTACTAATTAGCACCTCTCTGAGCCTCAGTTTCTTCAACCATAAAATATCTAGTAAGTAATAAACACCAATATTTGAAGAGCATTTATGAACGGTGCTTTTTCTTTTTCTTTTTTTTTTTTAACATAGTCCCTCCTTTTGTTCTCACAAGAACCCTATGAGGTAGGTACTTATAGGACCCCATTTTACAGATGGAGAACTGAGGCTCAGAGAGGTTATACAACTTGTCCAAGGTTAAACAGAGGTAGAAACAGGATTTGAGTCAGGTTTGACTGCAAATCCCTGCCGGTTAACACTGCATTCTACCAACGTGAAGCCTGCAGCCTAGCACAGAGCCAGCACTTGAGCAATGTAGGTTGCCTGCATTGCCTCTGAAAGGAACTAACAAGCACCTCTTTCCCTCTTAGTGCTTGAGCTCCTATTGAGCCCAGGGAACAGTGCCCCGCATGCGGCTGAAGTTCAGAACTGATGGGCAGAGGTACTTACCCCATCATACACATCATCCAGCTCTTTAGGCTCCAGGATGAAGTCCGGGAAGCCGATCATATCGTAGATGGCATCTGCCTGAAGAGTCCAGGTTACGGGTTTCCTTCCCCAGGCTCCCATAAAACTGTCTTCTCCATCCCCACCTCAAGGTGGCGCCCCAACCCCGGCCACAGCTTACTTTCTCTTTGGCTGCCTGGCGGGTCTTCTCATCCATCCAAACCAGCTGTCCCAGGGCCTCCTCGAAGGCGTCTCGAATCTCGCTAATCATCCCCTCCGCCTGGGAGGGAAGGGACACGAGTCTGCCTCCCACTCGCAGTAATGAATCCTCTCTCCCCCGTCCGCCTGGTGTCCCATCCCTGTCCTTCCTGGGGAGCGTGTGGGAGTGCCCAAATTCCTGAACTAAGGCTGAGCATCTGGGGAGGATGAGAAGGAAAGATACTGGGATTGTGGATGGCTTTTGTTCAAATTAATCAAAAATTTAACTGAAAATTGAATTAATATTAAATTTAATATGGCGCATTGATTTTTATCTGATTACGAAGAGAAAGCATTGGTAGCAGAAAATTTAGAAAACTGAGGAGAATTGAAGAAGAAAATAGACCACTTATAATCCCTCACTCAGAGACAACTTCATTTAACATTTGATTATCTACTTATAGTGTCTTTCCATATATATAATGGAATTATATATATATATATATATATATATATATATATTGTATATATATATATATATATGTATGTATATTGCAACTTCTTTTTCACTTAAAAAATATATCATCAGTTTTAATGCAACCTCATAGTCCATCCTAACCACAGTTTATTTTTCCATTCTCCTATGATTAGACATTAAAGCTGTTTTCATTCTCTTATTATAAACAACACTGCCATAAACATCCTTGTAGATAATACTTTCAGCACATTCATTATCATCTTTTAATAAAAAATAAAGTCCTGGTCGGTGGTTCAGTGATTAGACCTTCATCCTGTGAAAGGAAGTGTCAAGAGTTCGATTTCTGGTCAGGGCACACCCAGGTTGCAGGTTCGATTCCCAGTTGGGGCTCCTACATGAGGCAACCGATCAATGTTTCCCTTTCACATTAATGTTTCTCTCACTCCCTCTCCCTACCTCTTTCAAATCAATGAAAAGCAATCCTCAGGTGAAAAAAAATAAGTAAATAAATAAATATTGGGGTTTTTTTTCTTATTAAACAGGTAACATAAACTCATTATAGGAAATTTGGGAAATGCAGAGAACTTTCAAGGACAAAAGGAACCCGTCATAATCCCAAACCCAAAATAATCGCTGTTAACTTGTTCATGAATTTCCTTCCATTTTTTCCTATAGGTACTCACAAACATGAACAGTGAGTTTTAACTAAAACAAGGGGTGGAGTTAGAGGAAACTTGAAGACTCACGAATTCCTTGCTTTGCCGGTCAAATGAGGCCTTC